AGTTACTATTGTCTATAATTAAAATAGACATCGTGTTTGACTTTGTATGTAAGGTTTGACTTTGACTAGGCCTTTATTGTTTGACCCTATAAATAAGGTGTTTGTCTTGTAATTGGAGTAGGATGCTTATTGTAAATCAATATACATAATAGAGAGTTTGACTAGACTTTGAATGTTAACTATTTCTCTCTTCCCCATTTCTATAGACATAATCAGATCTGCCATTGTTATGAAGTTCATATGAAGATTGATCATTGTTAAGGATACACAATTGGTATCAGAGCAGGATTGTGCACAAAATCAGTTGAAAGAAATCAGATTTTGAAGAATTTTCGAAGATAATTTTTCTGTTTTTGTTTATGTTCTTCATCGTGTTCTTAATTTTTTAGAATTTGATTCAATTTTTTTAAAATCTTGTGTTTTTGTGTTTAAATCATGATCAAACTGCTCGTAATTGCATTGTGAATTTTTGTTAAATACAAAGTTTTATGATTTGATCATTGCATTTCATATTTTAAATCGATTTTGTGTTTTGAAATTTTTCGTGTTCTTGATTTTTTTTTAAAAACCAGTGTTTTTGATCTAAATTTTTTTGTTGTTTTTTTTGTTTTTGTTTTCTGAATCGTTCAAGAGGCCCAACAAGCCTATTCGTCATATCTAAGTCCATCCGGTTTATTTTCTTTTTCCTACATCGCTCATTTTTTTTCTTGCTTAGCTCCTGTCATCGCTCAACCTCACAAGTTGGTAAATCGATTGAGGCTTAACCGGTTTGTGTTAAATCGCTTGTTGATTTGATGACTTGGTAAGCGGACTTCATAAACCTTTTGTTGCTTACTTGATGAGGCGAGTTAGAATGTTAATCAGACAAAGGAATGAGGCAGATTATCCTTTAAATCACATAAGGTGTAGGAGGATTAGCCTATAAATATTACAAGGCTTGAACGGATAAGGGACTACATAGTACAAGGTTTGAGCGAATAAGGGTGCAAATCGTTCAAGGTTTGAGCGATTTAGGGTATAAATCGATCAAAGTGTAGCCGATTTAGGTGGTAAATCGCACAAGTTGTGACCGGACTTCATAAATAGCTTGGCATTACTAGGTTGGTAATCGCTGAAAAGGTTTAACAGGTTTGTGCAATTTCAATCCATCACAGACTTGTTTGATTTCTAATAAATCACTTTCTGCCTTGACTGATTTGTTGTAATCAGTTTTGATTTCACTAGTTCTTTTTGTGCGAGTTCATTTTAGTCGCTCACCAGCGTCCGATTTACATCATCTCACAGGTTTATACACTCATCTTCTCCTAAATCGCTCAACAAAGAACATTTCATTCGCCAACACAGTCAATCGTAGGTTCTTTAAATCTCACATCAATCTGCTTGTTTTTGGAAAATCATTCGCCTGGACTGAATTGGTCGTGAGAGATAATTGTGTTTGAGATTATGTCAAATTGCTCATAGGTTGTGTCCAAT